CTCAGGTCCCACCTCCAATGATGCATCCTCTGGTGAGGGCAGACCCAGCTCACTTGTAGGAGTTCCTGCTTACTTGTCCAGTCCAATTACTTGGGATGAGAACTGCGCAAAAGACTCTGCCTGTCCTGGAGGCATGTCAGGTGTTGAGATAGCATTTTAGCTTAGAACTCTGCTTCTGAACTATTAGACTATGTAACCTGTGTCTTGATCTATGTTTAAGCTGTGGACTGATTTGTGAAACAAGGCCTTCAGGAATAATTGAGCTGAGAGTGAGTACTGTGTCTGAATGTGGGAGTCAGGACTATGAGAAGACCCTGCTGGTGCAGGAGCCATCTTTCCCAACAGGGCTAGCACACACTGAAAAGCTGGGTCATGAGCAAGGTCAGCCTTGCAATGAGTAATGTGTTGTAGCTCCCCCACCCAGGTGGCAAAATCTACTCAATAGGATGATGTTTTAATTCTTCAGTTCAGATATAAACAGGTCTGAAGATGGAACTCCTGACTGGATACAATGTATTAATATTCTTTTTAAATTAGTGACAAGTAACCTCTGTTTACCTTGGAGTAAGCATTTATCCAAGAAGCCTTTCCATAATTTTAGTTACATTTAATTATTGCTTTCCTGACATAAAGAGAACTCACTTCTTTGTAGTATATCATATTCTGCTCTTTAAAAAAAAGTAAATGTAATATGTGGCACTATTATAAAAAGAGCATGCTTAGAAAACACAGTAGACAGAAATCACAAACGGTGCTCCCATTTATATAAATCTGAATGTGTGGGAGAAGTGTTCATTGTGTCCAGCTTAAAAATAATGCACCGTTATGTCCTTGATATATTAGCAAAGGACACTGAGTTGGCTCAAAGAGAAATGCAGCCACTTAAAAGCATTAATTCTCCTGGAACTCACAGAAAAGCAAAAATAAATTAAAAGTGCCACCTTTAAATTTTTGGCTATGTTAAAACATTATGAGAACTACCTGTTGGACAAATTATGATAAATGATATCAACTGACACACTGCAACTTGTCTGAACTCCTTTTGGCTGTAGTCATAAGAGGCAAGTCATACAACTTGCAAATTAAACTTATATCTATCATACTATTTTAAAGGAAATTATTAAACAGTAGTAATCATGGTGTTCTGTCCTTATGAAGTAGCAAAATTCTTTCTGAAAATATGTTGAGAAGACTCAAACTCTTAGTTCTCAGTCTTGAAATTTCTATCCCTACAATGCTCAAAAAAATTTCCCCTTTCAACAAAGTGCATGGAAGTTATATTAAAGTAGCTTACCTAAGCCAATAAAGGTAAAGGTAAAGGTACCCCTGCCCGTACGGGCCAGTCGTGTCCGACTCTAGGGTTGTGCGCCCATCTCACTTAAGAGGCCGGGGCCCAGCGCTGTCCGGAGACACTTCCGGGTCATGTGGCCAGCGTGACAAAGCTGCTCTGGCGAGCCAGCACCAGCGCAGCACACGGAAACGCCGTTTACCTTCCCGCTATAAAGCGGTACCTATTTATCTACTTGCACTTAGGGGTGCTTTCGAACTGCTAGGTGGGCAGGAGCTGGGACCGAAAGACGGGAGCTCACCCCGCCGTGGGGATTCGAACCGCCGACCATACGATCGGCAAGTCCTAGGCACTGAGGTTTTACCCACAGCGCCACCCGCGTCCCTACCTAGGCCAATATGTTGTTGTTATTTCATTTATAATAAAAGCAGCTAAGACAGTTTTTAAAGCAGTACAAAACACACATACAAAAAAAGAGCTTTAAAAACAGTGGGATAAACACTTAAGGCAGAGACCTTTTCATTTACCTGGAAAGTTTATGAACTTTGACAACCTAGGTAGCATATTTATATAGAGAAAGTTGTTGGAGACTACTGGTATTAAATTAATGACCTTGCTGGTACGAGTGTCTTTCATACAAAATAATCTTCATTTTAAAAAATCCAGAATAACTTCAGAGCTGTGTATCTTTCTGAGATGAAAATGCTCATTTTCATCCTTTTGGGTCAAGACTTGGGTTGAGAAGACAGAAATAATTTCTGGAAACCAGCAGTGCTTTGTCTCTTTTATAATGACAATCCATTGCTGGGGCCCCAGCATATACTTGATCCTTCCCTGGCTTCAGACCAGGCAATTGCATGACCACTCCTCTGCTGGCTCTGGACTCCGCCCCTCCAAGACTGTCTGCCACCTCAGTTTCTCATGGGTAAGAGAGATAAAGAGGTATAGGGTTGAGGTTCAGTGTTTGGGTTTATTGGGATGCTGGGTTTCCTTGGGGCTGGAAAAGTTGGGCTGCTCTACTGTGACAGCAGGTTCTTCAGGGTCCACAGTTGTGCCAGGGGTCTCTGTGTCATCTCACAGCACTTCCTGGCTGAGGTTCCCTCTGGAAGCTGGTTGGGCTGCACCAGGAGTTAGACTTGTACCAGTTCACATCAACCAGAACAGTTCCCATTTCTGCTTTGAGCTAGTGCTTGCCCTCTGCCCTCTGCTACTAGGGATATTTCCCAGGGGCAGAGGAAACGCTTATGTATTTGTGAGCATCAGGATGTCAGTCTTTGCCTGTTATATTTTCTCTACGTCTGTGCACCCAGCACATCCACAGTTGGGGGGAGAGAGAATTATAACTTGGGTAACAGGAGGCTTTGGAAGAGTTTTCACCTGGCCAGCATAGTTGGTCTCCTCCAAACTGTTATGTACCTTAGTGACTTTTCCTCAGGCTTGAAACATATGTAAAAACCATTCATCCCTCATACACTACAGGTGCAAGAGAAGTCACGGGCAAATTAAAGTAGGTTAGTAAGGTGACTAAAGAAAGATTGATGTGAAAGCTTCTTAAACTTTTCATACTGGAAGAATGGGGGTTAAAGAACTATCTACATATCTCTTGGCTTTTGTGGGTCAGTGGCAAGAGCCAATGTTGTGGGCCCTCCAACTGATTTAAAATATGATCTCAGTTAAAAATTACTTCATAGGTAATAGTTGTTAAATATAATATTTACCCATCCCACCCCTCAGATACCAGGAGATCACATATTATCTGGTGAGGGGTGGAGGATTATTATTTTAGTATTGATTAGCACACTAATTAACTGGCTGATAATTCAAGGAGCTGTTCAGGTTCATGCAGAAGGCTATTTCTGGTCCACTGGAATCCGTGGCTTTTCTCGCCTCCTCCCTTTTTGTGGTAAATAGCTGATCCCCATAAGAGTTTTTCAATGTTCTGCTGTTTCAAAAGCAGTTTTGCAGCTATTTGAGAAAAACAAGCAAAAGGTCCCACTGAGCTCAAGACCTGGGCCTAATTCTCAGAATGCAAGTGGGGGTCTCACGTGATTGCAAGCCCTTCCATTATAAATCTACTGCACAAAAAACTTTATGTCAGGGAGAAAGTTTCTAGCCTAGCCTGGTTCCAGATATACTATTTTTTTAATGTGACTATATAGAGAGAGAGAGAGTGAGAGAGAGATTGTACGGAGGACTCCTGGATTGCAGTCTGAAGTGGTATAGCCTCAACATGTTTCCCCTTCAGTGAGTACTAGACCCTCGTTTCACAGTTATTTGGGCCCTGGCCATTGCATTTTGTCTAGCTATCAGTGGAAACAGAATCTGTCGGTTTTGAAGAGCACAGATTAGGAAGGAATGTGCCGTTTGGAAACGTGGCAGCTCTCATAGTACTGTGTATGGTTTAAATTAAACCTTTTTTTGGAAAGCAGAATAGCTGCAGGCCACATTTTGAGGGAAAGCAACAGCAGAAAAGGGTTGGCTGTGGTTTTTCCTTTGCTGTATAACAGACCAACTTTCTCTTGTTTTAACACAGAAGCGGGGGAGGGAAAGCTGGACTCCTTCAGACCAACCACACAGCTTCTCTGCTGACCACAAAAAGGAAGTTAGGCATGGCAAGGCTAGGATTAATACCCACTGTCTCTTAAGCCAACAGGGTGTGAGAACTTTTTATATGGATTTTTTCCCTCCCTGCCTTCTTGCCAGATTGACGGTGTGGTCAGAGTTTAGACATCTTGAAACAAGTACAAGTTTGCATTACATTGTGTTCCAGGCTTTTCTAAATTGCATCTTAAATTCGTTTACGCCCATTGCTGAGCTTTTAGCAGGGCAAACCACTAATAGCTTTGTGCTACTTGCTGGAGGGATAGGAAACATAAAAAATATGCCTTGAACACTCTAGGCAGTTGACAGATCTTGATGGGCTGATAGACTATAGTTATGCTTAATGAAACAGGCAAAGCCAGCTCTTAATAGAACAGAGCCCTTTATTCTATGTGAATAATAAGATTAAGAATTTATTGAATAATTGAATTTACTAGTCATTTGTCCAAATTTCCTTATTCACCGGCTCTTCTAAAAATTGACTGTGTGTGTGCTTTTATATGTAATTGTGACATCACATATTTCCATGTGTGAGATATTTGATTTTATTTATTTTATTGTATTTTTAATATTTTGTTGGAAGCCGCCCAGAGTGGCTGGGGAAACCCGGCCAGATGGGTGGGGTAAAATAATAATAATAATAACAACAACTACTACTACTACTACTACTACTACTACTGAGACGGCCAACAACCTAGATGGCTTTAAAAGAAAGATAGACAAATTCATGGAGGTGAGGACTATCAGTGGCTACTAGCTATGATGGCTGTGTTCTGCCTCCACAATTGGAGGCAGCAATGCTTCTGAATATCCACTGCTGGAAACCACAGTGGGTGGAGAGTGCTGCTTTGTTCAGATGGAGCTTGTGGGTTTCTCACAGGCATGTGGCTGGCCAATGTGAGAACAGGATGCTTGGCTTGATGGTACCATTGGCCTGATCCAGCAGACTGTTCTTATGTTTGCAAGCAAACCATACCCTCCTGAAGTATATAAGAACATAGTAAGCTGCTGTAGACTGAGTCAGACCATTGGCACATCTGTCTTAGTGCTGTGTGCGCTGAGTGGCAGTGGCTGCCCATAGTTTCAGACATGGGACTCTCCTAGCCCTACCTAGAGATTCCTGGGGTTGAACCTTGGCCCTTCTGCATGCAAAGCAGATGCTCTAGGACTGAGCTGCAGCCCATCCCCTAATGCTATTTTCTTACATGAAAACAGGCCTATTCCTTTGATGTCTCATATTTTTATTTTTAAGCATTACATGTTCTCAAACTTATTCTGTTCCAGGAGTCCATTTGACTCCTGAAACCATTCGAAAACCAAGGCATGGCTTCCGATTGGCTGCAGGATTTTCCTGCACTTAACCAGAAGCTGCGGAAGCTGTGTCGGATGTTCGGCTTCTGAAAAATGTTCACAGACTGGAACACTCATTTCCGGGTTTGTGGCGTTTGGGAGCTGATTTGTTTGGGAACCAAGCCGTTCAAGTATACTAATTGATTTTTGTACTCAAGTCCTGTTTTATAATTCTGTGAAACAGTTGTAGATTTGAATCAGCTGATATTTAACCATATGCATCCCAGAACTGAATTTACTTGGAGTGGCACATGATCATTATACAGTGGTACCTCGGGTTAAGAACTTAATTCATTCCGGAGGTCCATTCTTAATCTGAAACTGTTCTTAACCTGAGGTACCACTTTAGCTAATGGGGCCTCCTGCTGCTGCTGTGCCGCCAGAGCACGATTTCTGTTCTCATCCTGAATTAAAGTTCTTAACCCAAGGTACTATTTCTGGGTTAGCGGAGTCTGTAACCTGAAGCGTCTGTAACCCGAGGTACCACTGTAATCATGTAGTTACTCTCATAACCATTGCAAATATTTAGTAACACATATTCTGAAAATATTGAAATATAACAGTTTATAAATTGAAACCACTTGTCCATCTGATAGATATAGTGCAGTCCTGACCAGGCATGACATGTGCAGTTTTTGTATATTGTTACAATATTTCTAAAGACATAATGCTTCTTGTGTATCGTAATGATGTAGTCAATTAATAATACATAAATATCTCCACCTGTAGAACAGTTTCCTTCTGATAGGGAGGGTTTCCAGATTATCCTTACTTGCTTGCTCTTTGTTCACATGTGCTTTGGTAGCACAGGAAGTAGAAAGAAATGAGGAAAGCTTTCTCTTAATTTGTTTTTGCTGCCCTGGAAGACCTCCATTGCATCTTGATCTTTTTTCACTGCTGAGGAATTATACAGTAACAAATTGAATCCATTGATCACTGTCTTCTCTGAAGTTTCACTTTGTAAGATTCTATACAGTAGTCCATTGACTTTGATAGAATTACCAATAGCAGTAATCAAGGCAATTAGGATGAGGCCAAATTATTTCCTTTACTGCATGGGTGTATGAGGAAGAAAACATAAAGGAATTATCTTATATCCAGTAACAAGAGACTTGTGTGGCCTTTTGTGGTGGGGGTGCAAGAAGAGTGTTGGGTGTTCTAGTCTAAGTAGCTATTACTATGGTAATAATAATGAACTACCAGGTGCTAGGATATATAGTCTTTGCCTTATATTCGCTGGAAGAGTTAATCACTTAGTGATTTTCCTCTCAAGATTCACGTGTTAAAGTGTTTCCAAATGTTAAAATTTCAAGGTCCCACGTCATGAAAAATAACAGTGAATTAGCTTTACTTCAGTACACAGGAACTTACTATCTTTCCACATTAGGGGAGGGGGAAGGGTATCTTTTACATTACTATTCTAGAAAGCACTCGGAACAATCATGGGACAAAATGGGAAGGATTAAAAACTCCTTTGCTACTGGTTGTGCAGATTTTGCAGATGCTTAGGCTGTACTCAGAACTGCAAAGAGGCAAGAAGTCACTTAGCATGAACAGATGTATTTTCTTTAGTAAACTCTTTCAGGCTATTGTTTCCTAGCCATTAAAACATGCCATCTTGATACTTGGTTATTCACTATATACCATAAAATATTTATTAAGGTCATAGAACTGTAGTGCAGTAGAAAAACCCACATGTGGAACAATTTGCTTGCTGTTATTTTGGATAAGAACATTTCTGCTGGGTTGCATCACTGTCTGTAAATTTTATTGATTATAATTAAGTTCGTCTGTATTGTCTCTGGGAATGTACATAGCTTAAAATCAATATTTCTTATATTCATTAGGAAAACCAGCTTGAAAGGGATTTTAGTAGAAATAAGCAGCAAGGCTGTCACTTTGATTGCATTTATAAAGCATTAGGGGCTCACCATTTCTCCTGCTTTTCTGAATGTGTTTTAAACTCTTTTCACAAATTTGTCTCCACATTTAGCTGTTTTACTTTTACCCATTATCCCTATTCTTTATATCAAGCTTCCATTAAGAGAAGGCATGCACCAGGTGTCTGCTGCAGGTAAACTCTGATTTAAAGTATCTGAAACTTTCATCTGCCCAGCTTCAGCTGTATTAATTTACATTATGCATCTGCCCTTCATCTGTATCATCTGCTTTGGCAACATATGGAACCATTTTAAGCACAGAATAACATGTTGTCACCTTACTGAAATTTGTGATGATTTAAATAGGGACAATGCTTCACACTTCAGTCAACTGTCGCACAAAAAGTCATGTCAGAAAGCCTACTCCCTCTAATACAAAAGTTGATGATTGCAGGGTGTTTTAAAGCTTTGTTTTGTTTATACAAGTTTGATAAATTCAATCCCAGCAGTCTGTGTACATCCATGAATGCACTATGACTCCATTCTTACATCTGTTTATTTACCATTGTTTCTAAAACATCATTCAATAAAATTTCCAGTTTAAACAATTTCAAGTAAACACATACAGAGAGCATCGTAGCATAATGCATTCAAAATTGCACATATAATACCTTAAAAGCTGCATATTTAAAATCACACACTGAAGGCCTGTTGGAGCATTCAAACACAAAAAAGAGGAAATCTAGCAAACCCTAAAAGAGAATGCAATCTACACCTTTGGAACCATGACCAAGATGGCCCTGACTCTCACCCCCATCTCTCTAACCTTGCAAAGCAGCAGGCCCTCTGAATTTATGCTGTAAATCACTTTGGGATAAGTGAAATAAATAAATGTAATTGAAGAGATTCACAAGGGAGTATGTGGCCCTTAAAGTAAGCTGTAGATTGAGAGGATATCCCAATCAATAATACTTTGCACATTTTTAAAAATTTACTTTTCTTCATGGAGACGGTTGGGATAAAATTTGGGGGAGGGGGAGTTCACAAATTTATTGAAATTTAATCCTAACAGTCTCTATGAAGAAAATTAACTAATAAATAAAAAGTGGTGATCTGATTAACATTACCCTATGGTGGAGTTGAGAGGTGAAACAGATCTTGCAGTGGTTCATAGTGGGTAGCATGAGCAAAGCACCAACAGGTTCACTCCACCTCTCTGGCCTAGAGCCATTAACTCTCTGTGGTGCTGAGAACAATTTTAGCATGTGAGCTTCTTGAAGGCAAGTTTATTGCTCTCCTTAGCTGCAATCTCAGCTAAGGGGTCTTAGATTTAGATGGTGCCTGGTTACTGGCGTTAGGTTTAGTATTAGAGTTTTCTTTCTCTCCCCCCCCCCATCAGGGTGTGTTGTACCTAGCTCTCCTTTTGACTTCAGCCACAAAATGCATTATTCCACAAGTTGTGAATGTTTATTAGTTATTGATCTACCCCTTTTATCATTTATTTAGATACTCAAAGCTTGGAAATCCTGGTGACCACACTTAGTTTCAATAAAGGAATATTTACAGTTCATTGACAAACCATCCATGAGTAAATAATGAAATCAAACTTGCTATTGGGTAATGTACTGTCAGCTGGAAGGGGAAATAACTAATGATCAGATAGGTCCAGATGCGGCCCAGATAGTTCTCTCCATTGGGGGGAATTATACATGAAGTAGGTAGCTTATTTATTACCATTGTATCTCACAATTTCCCCAAGAAGCTAAAGACAACATACATGGGTTTCTTCCATTTTTAACTTCAAAACTGTGAAATAGGTCAAGCTGAGAAGTGACCCGCTTAAAGTTGCTAGTGAACATTTGAACTTTGGTATCCGAGGTCTAACTCCTAGCACTGTTATTATTGCATTACACTAACTGTCATCATTACACTGCATCACACTTGCTGTCATTATTTCTTTATAGCAGTGGGGGATTTTTTTTGGGGGGGGGTGCTGGTACTCATATCTTGATAAAAGTGCCTGTAGGTGCCAACACAAAATGGCTGTCATAGGCAGCGAAGAAATAGGTGATGGTACTCTGAACCAGTGAGTACTGTCACAAAAAAGCACTTCTTTATAGAGAAGAAGCCTATAAAAAGTAGCTGTACAGAATATAACTGTTCACAAGAAGTATCTGGGCTATTACCAATTTGATGCTCCTTCACTCCCGAACTTCTTGCTCACATACATCCTAACTAACTAAATGAAAGCATAGAACGAGTGACAGTATCATAATGTCTAATATAATCAATGTAAATCTTGCTAAGTGTTGTGATTTGGTCACGTTTAAGTAACAGGCGTTAGATTTAGGGGGGAAAAACCTATAAGCAGCAATAGCAAAAATGGCAGCCTAGGCTTTACTTTGCAAAACAACAACAGCAATAAACTGTGTTCAAGTAAAAGTATTTAGCGGTATTCTTGCTCATTTTCTTTGGAGGCTGTCTGTTAAAATAGTAGTCATTGCCCAGAAACGCAGAAACCTCAGGCGTACTGTATTTCTCAGAAAGATTAGAAGAGGCTTGGTTTACCCAGTTAACTCTGGGCAACCATACACCAGAAGGCCTGGTGGCATTTGCCACAGCAATATCTCCATTGTGTGTGCATTTTCGGTTCATTAAAAAAAGATGTTAATTGTGGCCGGTAGTCGAGAATCTTTCTTTTAAAGTCAGTTATCAGCGGTTTCCTTTTGCATGGCTGGCTCGCTGATGGGGAGCTGTCCGTTTATTTAAAAAACAATGCCTCAGTTATCATATTGTTTAGTGTGGGGCGGGGAAGTGAAGCATTCAAATGCGAACAAATCCAAAGCAGGAAAGCAACGCAGCAAAAACAGAGAGGGGGGTTCAGGGCAGATTTTACAACCTGAATAAATCAGTTTAATGAAGGAGTTTTGTTGGAGTACTCCAACTG